TACTGTTTCTTTGTGCTCTGCCATTAGGAAGGAAATACACCAAACATACCAGGAATGGCAATGTAATCAATGAAGGAAATCAGAGGACAAGAACCAATCCGGCCACACACTCTCACACTGTGATGCCAACATGTAAGAGAGGACAGAAAACGGGAGACAAGCATGCAGCATCAGCACACAGCTCCTCTGACTGTATGGGATAGGCCAATTTGAAGGTTTAGATCCTCGTATTGTGAGCATTGTATTCTATGCTAACCCACTGAATTTAGAGAAAGTTTTGACCAGCTCTTGATGCCATGTGTATAGATGTTGTTAACAAAGGTAGATAACAAGGATGCTGGAATAACTTATTTATTCATAGGTAATTTATGTAACACGTGTGTATTTAAAAATAGTAACTGATTCTTCTTGTTTTTATATATTTACTACGACATGATTTGCACAATCACAGCAATATATTTCTCATTGTAAAACACTTGCAAAGAATCACATAGCAACCAATTTTATCTTAAAAGTGTCAATATATTAAAAATATAAAGAGTTGACAAACTAAGGGCTTGTTTAGCTTGGTAAAACATATCCTATTTTCATTTCGTGTTTTTCAAGATATTTAAAACAATGACACCTGTTTTTTCTTTACTTATACCTTTTAAATATTCATACAAGAAATCGCAAAAACAACATTTAAGAAAATAACCTTTAGGTCGTATACAATTTAGTAAAAAGCCAGCTCAAGCAGCTACCATTAGGATAAAGCATTTAATTTTTATACACACAAATCATACCTAGAGTTCAAATGATGTGCAACAGCAAAGCCAATCCAGTTCATGCGATGATTTGACTTGAGTGTCAGAAGTTGTTGTCGTGTCTCAACAAAGCCAGTTAAATCTCGCATTTGAGCCTACCAGTGAGAAGTAAAAGCACGTTCACACTTAGTCAAAACACTTAATGCATTATAGAAGAGTTCACTGACTGCGAGTGCATGACATGAAAAGTGATACACAGTAAAATATCATTGAAAGGTATTTGTGTCTGTTTGAATTATAAAGAATTGTTTAACATCCATTTTCCAATTAGCTTTAGTTCATTGTGCAGCTTAGGTTCATCAGGAAATTGAGATAGTTTAATTACCCTTCTTCTGAATTGTATTCAGTATTAATATTAATTAAAATAATCTGTTTATATAAACCATTTAACTAGTGTGAAATGTCCAGTCAAGAAATTCACTGAAAATCAGTTTTCTCTTATATCTACCTGTGAGCTTCATCAAGAGTCATAAATGAACTTAGATTGGAACTTAGAGTATCATAAAAGTGCCATTGCTGGCAATCATGGTACGTTATGGGCAAAGTTCATGATAAACTTTACTTCACATCGATAATACCAATATGAAGCTTCGCATCTATGATGAGAAAATGCTACCTGTAAAAGTGACAAGTCCCGCAATATTTCAATATTGTCAGGATCTATTTTCAATGCATTGCGATAGCACTTTATTGCCTCCCTGTATTCTCTGTGCGACCGATAAAGGAGACCATAAACGTGCCAGCAAACATGACTTTTAAGGTCATTCTGCACCAGAAAAAAACAGTAACCTTGAATCACATTACAAACTTTGAGGGGAAGATAGATAAATGGTACAAAATCAAAGGCAACCAACCTTCAATCCTTGGCGAACCAATTCGTATGCCTCGGACTTACGATCCATGCAATTCAATGTCAACCCCTTCATTGATAAAGTTTCTATCAACCAGAAGGAAGGAACAGACACATAAATAATAATAAAAAAAAGAGAGAGAGCATTAAGAGATGGAGAGAGAACAACTTGGGTTAGGAAATAACATGTTACTCATTTAAAGGAATAAGAAGAAAGTAAATATCCCCTGACCAGAAAGGAAAGGCACCGAAAAACAGGTACAAAAAAATTCTACCTCCATGGTCTGGGAATTTTTTCAAAATGGCATCGGCTGCTTTAAGGCCCTTTTTGTATTGTTTGGTTTCATAGGATTTCTGCAAGAATACAAACAAGGAAAATTAAGTCAAGCCCACAGAAACAGGTAAACCCCCATCCCCAACTCTCTCACAGTATCAACAGCACTTCCCTTGCTTGTAGAATTCCCAATAATCAAGATGATAAAAATCGAATTACGCAAAGTAGTAAGCACACATTTGTTTTTCACACTAAGAAAACCAAACACTGCTAACAGAAGTAATTCCACGGTATAGTCTGAGAGTTAGGTCCTACAACAGATATTTATCTACAGAAAGTTCCTTCCAATGCTAGGAACAAAAACAACTGCCAACGTTTCCAAGTCAACGAATTCACTCTTCCCCTTCTACTTAAATAATCTTATCACCATTTATTATTGATGATTACGCCAGAGTATCAGTGCATGCATTGATAAAGACAGCCCCATGCACAAACCGGGTGAGAGCAAATCACGATTCCTTCCAGCTTCCCATAGCCGCAAGGGGAAAAGGAAATAAAAATACAGAGAATACAATAAACTCAAAACAGCAGAGTTGGGGAAGTTCCAATCCCGCTCTAAATAAATCTCAGAAGAGCTGAAAAACAACACAGCGGTGAACCTGGCACATCAAAGTATCGCAGAACTACAACCAAACCTGAATGCTCTGATTATCATCATTTAAATTTGAATAAAGCCTTTGGCGTACTGTCAGCAAACAAAGAGGCGTAAAAGAGTGCTAAGGATAACAAGAGAATCTAGGGTTTTCCAGAAGGAGAAGTAGCAACCGTGGAAGCAGAAGCAAATGAGTGAGTTGGATCGAAGAAGGATACGAAAGCATAAAATTAAAACGAGAACGGAAGCTTACAACAATAAGCTTGAAGAGGTTAGCCTCTCTGGGAGGAAGAGAAACACCCATTGTCGGAGGTTAACGGCAGCGGAAGGAGATAAAGGAGGTGGTGAATGGTGTCTGTGTGCGTGCGTGCGTGCGAGCAATGCAGTGCAACGCAACCCTACTATCAAAAAGAAGAGAGGAAACACTGCTGCTACGTTCTACTGTTTCTCCTTTTCCTTTTTCTATTTTTGATTAATCCTAATTTGCACTGCACAAAGCAACAAGGAACTCGTGCCTGCGTGTCTCTTCTCTGCCGCCTGCACCCGCATTCGGTTAACTTCCATACTCAAATTACTACTAGTACTTCACAATTACCATAATTGTCGGTTCGGGTCGGTCTACAATGGCCCATTCATCATATTTTTTGTTAATTTGGATCCATACTGCATACAAAACGGGTAAAATACAAAGTTTTATGTTTTATTTTGATTGATTAAAAACAGAAATCATATCGTTGTTTATAAATATTATGTGTATGTCTATAGTTATAGTTATATACACGTATATTTTTTTCCACTTTTACTCTTTTACTTGGTATTTTTAAAATTAGAAACTATTTTTCAAATTTACTAAATTACTTGTAATAAAAAAGTATTTACACAATATTACTTATAATATATTTTATTTCAATAACTAAAAATTATTTTATTTATAGTTATATCTATAATTATATATTTATAACTATATATTTGTAGTTATATACACCTCTTTGTTGTCTTATTACTTTAAATTATCTTATAATTTTACTTTTTAAATTTTATAATTATTTGTAAAATTAAATAATTGCCTGCTATAAAAAAAACTATCTACAGCTATTAATACAAAGATTTTCCATTTTTTTGTGTGTATTTTTTTCTAATTTAATTTTTAGTTAGTCATTTTTTCATACTAAAACTATTATCTAACCATTTTTATATGTTTATTTAAATTTAACTATTTTTTTAACTAAAATGATTGTTTTATTGTTTTACTTTTAATTGTTTATTCAAATTTAACTAGTTAATATGTAATAAGTAGCTGACATTCTATTTTAAAATCCTGAATTTGTAAATTATTTCGATTATGGAATTTTAGTTGCACACTTATATTATGTATATGTTAATGTCTAAGTCTTCGCCTTTATCATTATTAGTCTTAAATGTTGTTTCATTATATTGAAAGTTATTATAATATTAAATTCAATAAAAAAAATTTAATTATAGCAATTAAATTAAATAAATATTTATAATTATAGTAATTAATGTATCTTAATTGCATTAATCTATTCCTTATCTCAAACATTTTTGTAGTTTGATTTTGAATTAACAACCTAATTAAAATTCAAATAACCATACTTTCCTTTAAGCTAATTAATATTAATAATAATATCATGAAAATGATCCTTTTTGACCTCATGATAGATAAAAATAGTTTATCTCATAAACTTGACTAATCATATGGTACATAAAAGCAATAAAATATGTGAAAGATGATTATTCACTTTCACTAGTTAGACCAACAAAAAAAGTGTTAAAATATGCTAGATATTCTATTTATGGATATTAGACAATCATACATTGTGTTTGTGTTAGTTATAATTTAAGTATTATTATAATTTGTATAGATTTATATCGTTATCATTTCTTTAATTGATGGGAAATTATAGGTTATAGGATCATATTATATATATATATATATATATATATATATATATATATATATATATTATATGCATACACACTCTACTCTACTCTTTGAAATAACACATCAGAATTATTCTTTAAATCTTTTTATATGGTATCGGAACCAATCAGTCGAGGAGAGTAAGGAGAGAAGTAAATGTTAGTCCAAGAGGAAGAAATTTGCAAGTCCCATCCTCGTCTCTATCCAACAGAAACAAGCTTTTTTTTTTAATTGAACGAATAACTACTTCATAAGTAATACATCCAATAAATTTAAGCATATTACATAAATTTATCGAATATATTTATGTAATATGTAACTTAAATTCACCAATGTTTAGGTCAAATTTATGGTGTTCAACATGACTTAACATTTAATCAAACACATTCCAAGTAAAGTTGTGTTTTGATTTACCCAACTCCGATATTAGAACAAAAATGGGAACTGAGAAAAGTAATATGCATGGAAGTAGCAAAAACAGGTGAACATCTAAGGCTGACAATAACAAAGACTTTGTGACATACACAGTAAAATATTCAAAGAAAAATCTAGCTAAACCAAATCAACTTCCTTTCTCCCCAAAAGAAACAAGTTCATTCAGAATTCACAAGTGGCCGATGTTAGAGGACAAAGTTTTATATGCAAGGTCTATTTCTTGTTCTGTCATCTCAATTGTATCATCACTATCATATTCAACTGCATCAGAAGACATGGCATTTGTTCTTCCAGTTTTGCTCGTCTGTTCTTTATTTACCTTTGAATTTTTCTTCCTTTGATGATCTAAACTACTTAGTTCCTCCTCGTAAATTCGCTTACAATCCAAAGCCTCTCTGTGAAGATCTTCCTTTGACAATAAAGTCTTTTTGTTTCCAACTACATCCAACTTTGCAAGCTCGTCAACTACACGAGGCAAGAACATCCAGTCCTCAGTTCCTTTTCGGATATCCTGGTTAAAGATAGTAAGGCAATCACCATCAGCTGTGAAATCTTTTATTTTGATTTCATCCCAACTATAAAAGCACTGCAGTGAAACTAAAAGTAAGAGTAGTGATTATGGAACAGGATTCATGGAACGGTGTGAAGTCAAATATAATCGAAAGGTATAAAATTAAAGCATTAAACTAGAAACAAAACACAATATTCTAAGATCAAACCGTTAGTGGCTTTGATACGGAAATGTGTCATTCAGTGAGCTGATTCAATCAATTGATCAGCCAATTCCTATCTAAATGAAATTAGTCAGCGACGTTAGGTATTATCACTACCATAAAAACAAGAAAAAAAGTTGCAGAGAAACTTAGAAGCACCTAAGAACATGTTGGATCGGAAACAAGTAGGAAATAGAAAATACTAAGTACTACGGGTGTTAATGCAAGAAAAAATTGACATTTTATGGTAATGTTTCCCAGTTAGCTAACTTCGTACCTCCTAAGATGGACAAAAACACAATTAATACTCAAATACCAGTGATCCTAGCCTTGTATGCATGTGAAAAGTGCATCCTTACAGGAAATCGATTGAATTTTAAATAATAAGGTAACTCTTTTCTTTATGCTTATGGTACCATATCTCTATGAAGGGGGGAGGCTTACTATGCTTTCTAACTGGAGAGTGATGCAAAATTCTGTGTACATTACCTGTTTTTCCTCTATAGAACGAATTGCATCTTGCAAACAAGTTAGAATTCCCTCTGCAGCTATTTTCGTCACCTCATTTGGATCTGGCTGAAATGATTAACATAATTTAAGAGGGTAGTGAAATACAATGATTTTCTAACAAATGAGTTTATTTTCAATGCAAACTTCTATTTTAGCACTATAGTCTGATTCCATGCAAGTTCAGAATCTAAATAAGAATTTTGTAACCTCTAGAAGGAAACAAAAACTGAAAACACACAGAAAATGATGACCATAACCTTTTCTTCTTGACTTTCCAGCCACTGAATTGTTTTATTCAAGTCATCAATGGCCCACTCCTTCACTTCCGAAGGCTCAAAGCATTTCCTAGAAATATCAGTGCCTTTTCCCTGGAATACCACCAAACATATAAGTCTATACTCTATAGCATATTTAATTGTTTGCAGATGAAATAAAGGTTATTCAGACTCTCAAGTATGTGACTATAAAACATCTCGTTAGATTTACCTTTGATTTTACGGAGGCTGTTGACTTTGAAGGCTGTTCTCCATCAACATGCTTCGGTGACTTTTTGGGTACAGATGGTATTTTATCTGTACTCACCCATAGTGGGGTTCACATAAAGATAAAATAGATGTGAAATTGGATGGAGATAGCAGTATTAGGGCAGGGGAAGGAGGTTGACAAGAACTACCTCATAAAGACATGTTGTAACACAGGCCATTATTTTCAAAGCTTCATCATTTCATTGTAGCATCCATTTAAGTAGTGTGTGTGTGTGTGTGTGTGTGTGTGTGTGTGTGTGTGTGTGTGTGTGTGTATAAGATGGATGTAAAAACGGCTTTAGAAAAACCAAAAGAAGTGTTTTAACTGTTGAGTATTTTCAGAAATAACTAGACATATAATATCATTTAAATCCTCAATAGATGATCACAATGACTCTTGAAATTGCAATTTTGTTTCAAAATATATAATTTTATTTTTCGATTCACTTTCCTAGAAAAAGAGTAAAGATATAAACAAGATGCTTGTTGCAACTAGTGCAGTGTCAGTAAATAGTTAAAAAAAGATGCCCTCTAACTTAACGTTCTATACTATATACAATCACATAGCCAATTATATCACCTTCATTGACTTCTCCTGAAACATTTCCTTTACGCCATGGTTTCCCAGCATGAAGAAGGTAATTGTCAATCTCAATCAGCTTCCTCTGTGTGTAACAATCTATTATCCAATCCTAATCCCAAAAACGAAGAAAAGAAAGGGCGCATCATGTAATATCAGGTAAGACTATCGTCCAAAAATACATACAAAGATTATACAACTAAGAGTTTGAGTGGCATGACAATAATTTCCCAACCAAAATTAAAATGTGTTGAAGTTTGATATCCCTTATATTTAACACTTAAGTAAAGTAATGCTGACAAAATAATGAAAAAGAAAAGACATAGATTTGATTTAGCAATAGAAAACCTCTTGCAAACAAAATGTTTCAACTAGCACATTACATAGAAAATTGCTTCATACAAATCACGGAAAAGTTGCCTACAATCTTCAAACACTGTAATGGAGTCTAACAACACCACAAATTAACGGAATTACAGAAATTGACACTGAAATAAATGTGGACCTAAACGATAAAAAAAAGGCTTAGAAATAAAGTTACTTCACGAACAAAGAAAAATGACTTTGAACATAAGATGCTCTTGCGTTCTCTTGGTCATTAAATAACAGTTTATTTTAAATTATGAGTTTATCAATAAGCATGAATCAACACCAGATATCTTAACTCTTTTATAAATGAAGGCATAAAAATGGCACCAAGAAAAGCATAGAATTGAAACAAAACAAGGAAAAGGGAAAAAAAGAAAACCTTGGATACAATGGTTCCACAATCAGCTTCAACTTGTCTAAACTTAGGGGTATTTGGAAATGCACAAACCAAGAGAGTGCAATCAGAGTTCCAATCAGGCTGATATTGTGCCCCCATTTCCATTGCTCGTGACCTCAACATGCCCCTCTCCGGATTCACAAACCCTGAGAGTACAAAAACCACCCCTTCCTGTCCAAAAACCGGTTAAATTAATGATTCAGTCAATAAACATTCGAAAATAGCAATGCAAGGAAAGCCAAAGCTCACCAGAAGTTTATTGAAGCTTCTAAACTCCAAACTTGAGGCAGAAGATTTTCCACCACTCTCATTTTGAACTTTGCCCATCTTGGGTGCCTCACCCTCATTGGATTTCTCACCTTTGCCGTCGAAAGTTAGTTTCTTCTCACTGTTTTCGCTCTCGTTCTTCTTTGAACATGTCCACGACGGTAGGCTCCGCTTGGAACCGCTGTCGTTGGCACTTCTTTTAGCACCAGACATAGTAGAAGAACTACCTATGCGTAGTGTACCAAAAACACCAAATTCGAAAAACACCGAAGTTTTAGTGAAGAAGCCTGCGTTTGGGGTCAGAATAAAATTCGTAAATTGATCAGAAACTTCATCGGTGAACAGAAACATGCAAGAGAATTTAAATGTGCGTGCCTATTGAGATGAATAAATAAAAAAATATCGGGAGACAAATTAATCAACAAAAAAAATAATAATAATAATACTCTTGGCTTCCTCCTCCTCTATGTGCTGTGCTGAATGTGCAGAAGGTGGTTTTAAATACATAGCGTAATAATTATTTTATAATTATTAACTTTTGAAATCAAATATCACAAAGGTGGACGTGCCGGAGTGGTTATCGGGCATGACTAGAAATCATGTGGGCTCTGCCCGCGCAGGTTCGAATCCTGCCGTTCACGCTTTTTGTAATATAAGATTTTTTTCCTTTATTATTTAGCTATTTTTGAAGGAGGAGCTGCTCCCGCTCACCCTTTTGTTTTTTAATTTTTGAATAAAAAGAAATAAATCCAAAACACAAATTTATTATGGAAAATGTTATTTTGCTTACACAGTCGAAAATAAATAAAAAAAAGTTATAGATTAAAATAATAAATATTAAAAATTTGTTGAAGTAAAAATAATATTACTTTTATTATTTAGTTATTTTATAGGGAGTAAGAGCTGCTCCCGCTCACTCTTTTGTTTTCAATTTTTGAATCAAAAGAAAAAACCAAAACACGAATCTAGGGTTTAGTTGTCCGATTCTCCGAAACCAATATGCATGCGAACGTCAATGGAGAAAGAAGGTGATGCAGCAGTGGATCCTCTCGCCAATTATTGGGGACTTTCCCTCTTTACTTCGCCATCTCTTCTTCCACCTTCCCAACCCTACAACTCAGACTTAGATCTTCAAACCATCCACACTCACCTCAAATCCATGGTGAATATTTATCATAATCCTTTTTCCTCTTCTGTCGTTTCAAACTAATTAAGTTCTGTTTAGCTTTAATTGAAGCATTGCCTTCCATTTCATGCTACTGTGTTTGCACAGGCCTTGCGGAGTCCCGCGAAACTGGTGCAGGCAGCCAAGTCTGTTTTGGATGATAACCCTAATCTGTTCGGCTCTGAGATCACGCAAGACTCAATATTTCAAACAACAAATGGTGCAGGAGAGGATGGAGATTTTCGTCGACAACAGAGACCTGGGTTGGGGCTCAAACGTCCACGCTTCTCTATGAAGCCAACTAAAAAGTAAGGCTTATATAACCCGGACCACCATTCTATCTGTGAATGTCTTCTACAGTTGTTTTTTGTTGACTTGGTTTTTTGTAACAGGCCCTCTGTTGAGAGTTTGCTTCCAACTTTGGACCTTGATAGCTTGAAAGATCCGGCGGAGTTCTTCTTGGCCCATGAACGGTTGGAAAGTAAGTTTGTGTTGTTTTTTGTTTCTCTTCCTGTGAACGAGATTCACTTCCCCGCGGCTTGTTCTTGGTCTTATTGGGTTTGCATTTGGTGAGTAGATGCAAAAAGAGAAATACAGAAGCAGCTGGGTGATGCCTCGTTTGAGTCTGATCAAGATAGCTTGTCTACTAGACCACGACAACGTCGACCTGGGCTTTTGGGGAAGGATCAATTGTATGCTCTCCTAATACTACGATAACCAGTCTACATTGTGTTCTTTGTGATGTTTGTATTTTTTATCTGTGTTTAACTCGACCTTAATTTCTTATGGGCCAGGCCAATCAGATACAAGCATCGGTATCCCAGAGAAACCTCTGAAAGTGTTCTGTCCTCCCAGGATACGCTTGGGTCTCAGACTCTTGATCCCGTGGCCGAGAAAACTGACATAGATGAAGCCTATATGCCATCCTCGAAAAAAGAAGTAATGGGTAAGTGAATGCTACTCTATTCTACTATTTGAGTGTGCTGGCGGGCCTGATTTTTTTTCCTCTAAAATCGGACTTTCAGTGCTCTTTACTTCCCGCCTTTTTCAATTCTTCAAACATTATGTATTTTTGCTCCAGATTCATCTGCTACTAAAGGGAACAAGCTCGATGAATTGTTGGATGGATTGCTTTCATGCAATTCTGAGGATCTAGAGGGGGATGGGGCCATTAGTCTTTTGCAGGAGAGGTTACAGATCAAACCCGTAGCTGTAGATAAATTTTCTATTCCGATCTTCCCAGATAGCCAAGTGACTGATCTGAAATCATTGCAAGGGAACAAGTCAAAGCCAAGGAAGGCTTTATCCGACATAGATAACTTGTTGAAAGGAATGCATACGAATAAGAAGACACCATCTAAAAAGTTTGCACAGATCCCTGTGCAGCAATTATCTTCACCCACCCCTCCAAGAAGTCCATTTGCTTCAGTCTTGTCACTGCAGAAGCACATTTCAAGGTCAACGCAATCAGTGGATCCTTTTTCACTTAATGAAATTGGTATGGAAAATTCAGAAGTCAATCTTGTTCCTGGGGGGCCGAATGAATTGAAGGCTCACATGATTGAAGATGTTGTTAGAGTTGGTAAGATCAATACAGTTTTGGACACAGACAGGCATTACACCAATACATCATCTGGAAATCCAAAGGAAGACAACTCTAGAAAATCATTGAATGAACTGAATGCGTCTTCAACTCAAGATATAATTGTAGTTGGTGGGACAAGCGAGGCTAATGAAACTGTCAGTAATGGTACCAGTACATCTCGTAAGTCCATAGAGGGTAATTCAAGGGAACCTCGGTTCGATGTTGATATTGACTCAAGTGAACTTCATTTTGACATAGATGTTGGAGGCAGTGGAATGGGCAAAATGGTTGGCACAGAGGACAGGTCGAACGTTGAGCCAAACATGATCGAAGATTTTGTTGCTGTTGACAAGACAAGAACAGTTTTGGATACAGACATAAATTGCACCCGTGCTTCAGATATTTCCAAGGAAGATAGTTCTGAGAAGTCAACAAATGAACTGATTGTGTCCTCAATTGAAGATATTACTGCAGTTAGTGGGACAAGTTTGGCTGAGGACACTGCCAGAAATTGTACAAGTACTCCTCAAAAGTCCACTGAGGATAATTCAAGGGAACCCAAGTCTGTTAAAAGTGTCGATTCAGATGAACCTCTTGTTCACATGGATGTAGATGTTGGAGGCAGTGATACGGGCGAAAGGGTTATGGATGACATTGAGGAAAGTTTGGATATTGATGCGCACATGGTTGAAGATGTCGTTGCTGCTATCAAGACAAATAGAGTATTGGAGACAGACATAAATGTTAAAAGCAGTTGTATGGGTGAAAGGGTTATGCATGACATTAGTATTGAGGCAAATGAAACCTGTCAATCCAAGGACAAAGTATGTTTCATTTGAAAAAAAGTAGTGTCATAAATTTTAGATGTTGGCTAATGCAGAATTTTAACAATGAAAATCTTAATCAATCTTTTGTATTCTGATTGACACAGGCTGGAAATATGCTGGCATTTACAACTTCCACTCAAAGCGATGATACAAATCACAACATGGACAGTCCACTAGGTATGTATACATTCACATGCTTCTGAGTTATGTTCAGAATAAATAACTGAAAGCAGAATACCCGAACACTTTAAGAATGTATTTTCCTGCAAAGTGCTTCATTTTTGCATTATTAGGAAATTAAAAGAAAAAAGAACAATGGCAATTGATTTGTACATTGGCACCACTGTCATATACAAGGGTAGTTTATTCCATTGAAAATCCGTTGGCTTAGGATATGCATGCTAAAAGGCTATACAGATTTATTTGAACCTGCATCTCTTGAGTAATTCTGCATATGCATTAATGCTTCTTTTGAAGACTGAAGCTATATTATAATCTTTGTTGCTGATATGAAGTCATGTTCCTGCTCACTGCTCAGAGTGCAGTTATATTTGATCATTTGGTGATGGATTTGATATCTTTCTTACTATTTACGTAAATGTAATAGATTTGTGAATAGAAAAACCAACTGTTAGGGAACTAATTGTATCTAGTAGAAGAAGAAACATTAACCAGCCTAACTGCCTGGCAGTTAGGTAAGTCAGTATAAAAGGGGTGGGTTGGTTGGTGAGAGGGGGAGTCTTTGAGTGTTATTGTTTGGCGGGAACTCTTGTAGTTCTTTGGAGGGAGGTTAAGCTCTCTGGTTACGTTGTAACACCATTCTTACTGATTCTTTTTCAATAAAAGGAGGCTGTATAATTCAGATATATTGTCTTTGTGTGTATTCGAGTGTTTTTCCATAGGTTCTTGATCCAAGAACCTATCACCAACACTGGAGTTTCCAGAACATGCAATATAGAAGTACTTTAAGATATTGTTACCCTCTTTTCTGTTTTGTCTTCTTAAAAGAAGTTTAGAGCGAGAGCAGGCTAAGCACAGTCATAGAAAATCTTTCATTATCAAATGTAGTTTTTTAATAAACATGCCTGAAAATAGTGGTTGTATAGAGGCTATTTGGAGGAGCTTTTACTTTTAGTGAATGCAAAGCCCGAAAAAACTGTGCCAAAACATATATTATCTCAATGACATCGCTTGATCCTAGTCGTTTACCCCTCTCCCAGTAATTCATATAACAGTGTCCTGAACTCTCCTCTTAAGTTTCCCTTTGATCTGTGAAATCAGCAGAAAATATTGCTTTAAACCAACGTTAATGTACCTTCGACTATACTAACTTTGTTGTGGTTTGCCTTAGCTGATCAATCTGATCCTTCTGGATGTCAAGCCAATGCTGTGGATAAACGAGCCAGAAGAACAGAAGATGATCAATCCAATCCCACTGGATATCATGCCAATATTCTACAGGTTACTAGATTTGTCCATTTCTTTTCTAATGTTTCTCAGTGTTTAAACCACCTGTGTCATAATTCAATCATTTTATCATGTATCAGCAATTTAAATGGTGAAAATAGATATGGGGGCAATCAAGGTGCTTTACGCAGAAAAATTATAGTTATACAACTAATTTGTTCAATATTGTTTAATATTTATAAATTTATTAATGACATAAAAAGATAAGAGATGCATAATGTGATAGAGAGAGATAGAGAGGATCAGTGAATTGTTAATACGTGTGGTCAAAATTTTGTTAGGAATAATTACCATACTTTGAATGTGATAAAGCGTAATTTGTTCGATCACTTGGTGAAAGGTTATCGCACTTGATTATCCATGCACTTTCAGTTTCCTAACTCTATCCTACTAGAA